TCCTTGTTTTTTATTATAGTTTTGTGCCTTACAAATTCTTGTATTGTTTATTTACCATCCAATAGAAAAAAATTGAAGATTCTTATTTCGTATGTAAAATATGCAGGATTTAGTTCAGTACGAGCTATTAGATTCGAAAGATATTCGGACGCCGATTATAGTCGGCACCCGTACACACAGCACGTCGCGCGGCCGCCGACTATAGTCGGTGTCCGTAGCGAAAGGGTTAAACATGAATAGCATTCTAAAAAATTACAAGAACAGGAATTATTGTCTGAAGTTTCGTTAACTGGCCTCGAAATTCGTCCTAGAAGAGGCGAAGGACAGAGCCACTCGACTCGTCGGAGGGTCCCATGAGATGATGGATGCGCGTTAGCGCGGGAGTGCGCGAAGACAAAGATCCTACGAACTCCCTCCCGGCGTGCGCAACGTGCAGTCGCTCCCGCTGCGCGCAAATTAGACCTGCGAGTGTAGCGGAGTGTACCTCGCGGTGCACCACGTGAAAGCGAACGAAAAGACCGAGTGCTCTGAGAAAGGAGAAAAAGGTAGAGGGAGACGAACGCCAGTAGTAGTAGTAGTAGTGTACGTGGAAGGAGGACGGCCGGACGAAGCGGTGGAGAAAAGGTGAAGCGAGAAGAAAAGGGGGCGATGCGCGAGAGCGGGGTGGGAGGAACGGGAGGCGAAACCGCGATGAACGACCGCAATCAACGCAACACCGCCCCGCGAAAATTGCCTGGAATACACCCGGAATATATTATCCACACGGGTGTTCTTGCGGGCGGCGTGGCGTCCTCCTTTGGGTCAAGAGGTCGCGGGCTCCGGAACGGACACGGCCCGAAGCAAGAGAAGCGTGCCCGTGAACAACCAGCCGCACGATGCGCCGTTACCGCGGTGGATCACGAACCGCTGTCGTGATTTCGAGATAGCCTACGTCGTTAAATACGAATTCCCGTTTATGAATAATCGCATGTGATTGACAATAATAAACGTGATTATAATATCCCGATGTGTGCAGGGCAAAAAATATAGTCATGCTGCTGATCTTATTCATGAAATATTACTATTTAGAATCTCTACGATGAAAGGGTGTAAGGCCACATACAAACAACGACTGCGTAAATTTCTTATCACGTTATAATTTCATCGTAACATTTAATAATTCCTCGGCCCAAAATCGAATCAATTTAAAAACGATTCGTCTTCTGAACGAGCAGCTATTTTTGATATTGATTTCGACGATGCCTCCGAGACAGAATTACATAAATCACGCGAGCACGTTAAACCCGTCGCGAGATACTCGAACCGTATTCTGTCGAGATACGTTGTACTCATTATCGTGACGTATGGCTGCCGCTGGTAACGCGGGAATAATCCATGCAGTGGTTGCACTCGAAGTAGCTGCGGTGTTCGTTGGGTCGGTCGGTCGGTCGGTTGCTCGCTCGCTCGCTTCCCCACGGGCGATTCCTGTTCAACTTCAGCAGAATCGTTTATGAGCTTCGTAATTTTCTGCTGTTCAATATGTGCGTTCTGCTTGATCCACATCGACTAATGGCTCCTGTCGTGCAACCGCCATTGAAATCGCGTTCACTGGACTTTATCGCTTCAAAAGAGCTTCATCAAACGGATAGCTTTATTTAGTCAAGCTGTTGACATAGCTGGCTTGTCTGTGATTAACCGATTACAGGGTTCAGGTTAACGGAATAAAATTAAATACGTTTTACCGTAAATATATTTAGTCGATAGTATTTTATTTGGTTGTTTCAAAGGTTACTTTCCTCATTTCACAGTTACTTTAAATTCAGCTGCTAAATATATCTTTCACTTCCAAATTGGAATAAAATTTGTATTATGATCAATATAATTGTAATGAAAACAGGATTCTATTAATTTTAACTATAGTGTACATTATATTTTTCAGAGACAAATTATTGCAGCCTGTGAAGAGTGAACAAGTACCAACAGGACCCTTTTACTATTGCCAGGTGAATTGGTAAGTCTTTTCACTATTTTTCATCGTGCTCGATTAGGAACCGCGTTACGATTCGTCGCCCGGACGGCCTTCGGATCGTCCAGATACAACCTTAATGCGTGACCGTGTTCTGAGCAAAGCGAAGAGGCGATTACGAAACGAGCCGATGTTGTCATTAGAGCCGAGTTGACTCCTGCAATTAGATACGGGTCTCGGGGCGAGTGAAACTCGGGTCGCGATGAATATTAAATGTACCATACGAGATCCAAAGATAAAGATCCATAATATTTTCACGGAATTCCGGCCAAGGACCGACGTGTTCGAACGAAGCGGCGCGAGCGAATTATGACGGCGACGAGGTCGTCCGTCAGGGATGACGGGGGAACGAGGGAGAAGGAAACCGAGTGAAACATAGAGGAAGAGAGGGAGGGAACATCGGCGGAACTAATGATGATTTTTGCGATGAAACTCACGGATTCACGGTCCACGGGGGGGCGTCTGCCCTTCACACCTGCGCCTTAACCTTACCGATTTATTAGGGTCGGTTCACAGCCAGGAAGAACTCGTTCCCGCGACCCGCACCGCGCGATTCATCCACCCGCGTACTCGCTTAGCTCATACGCGAAACCTTGGCTCCTTCGTGGAAAACGACCACCGTGCCGCAGCGCACGCACCGGTCCATTTAATGATGCCGCGGCTCCATAAAGCAGCGGGCGTGCCGCAATTTCGCCGACGTAATGAAGCAATTGAACGGCGAGCCCTGTTGCGCCCTCCGCGTAGATCAACCAAGGAGCTCCTTTAAAATTCCTTCGCGAACAACTCGAACGATTTCCTACTCCGAGCTAAAGTCATAGTGCTTGACCCTCCATAATCATGTAAAATCTCGTTTAATATTTCTATACTAAAACATTCATTGATAAACTATAGTGTGCGTTAAGGAAGTACGTTTGAGTATACATAAATGAATATTAAATTCTCGATTCAGATTGTTGACCAGCAATATATTTATCCATGTACTTTCCACAAGTAAATCGTAATTAAAAACAAATTTACAAACACGTATATGTAAAGAGATTTATGACAGATATAATTCCATACTCGCTTGAGCAAAAGACTCTCCCACAGACGTCGAAAGAAAGACGACAGGTCCTCCTGTTTTAAATTTCGGCTCACAACACAACATCCTACTCAGAGATAATTTCACCGTGAGAAACGTGTAACAAAGTATAATGCCTTTGATCGGTCTACGAGACACGCCAGCTATGCGGGGACTAATTCGTCCCCGGATGCGTGGGCGTTCGTCGAAGCCGTCTTTCGGCTCGGGTCTTTGAAAATAGGCGCCTCTTTAATGGGGACGTACCTGATGTTCCTTCACAGGTTCGGACCCATTTCAAAAACCCCGGGGATCTGGGTTTAACGTTCTCGAGAGTAGAAAATGGGAACGGAAGTGTGTGCGTTGTATCTAACTATGAAGAGACCTGTTCTTCGAACGCAGGAAGTGTCCTTTTAGACGAGTATCGAATTTGATATGATACACAGTGTTCTCACGGGGGATTCGTATTGTTCGTCATTTGGATGTGGCCATTACTGCGGGGTAATAAACTTTCGCTGCGCGGAGAAAATAACGGAATTAGTTGAGCGAGTCGATCGGCTCGTTCCATCGCGCGCGTTTTTAATTGACAGGCCGGCCTGTCGAATAGCTTGTACCCGGAGAGAACCGACACGCATCGAGGGAATTCATGAAGCGGCGTGGCGCGGCGGCCCGGTCCCGGGGGAATGTGATTAATTGATCTCGGGTCACGGGTTCGATACGCTGCCCTGTTGAGAATCTCGCGATCGGTTTTCGTTGAACGCGTATATGCATATGAGCCCGTTCCATCGTCACGCCGCGACGCCGATCGAAAAGCATAAAAGAAAAATCAGTTTCCATAGCCAACCGCGGCTGTCGATCGTCTACGACCGGGATTGATTGTAAGCCGAGAGATCCGAGACTCGGGACTCGTGTTTTCTACGCACTTCGATCGTGGTAGACGGGACGCGAGATCGAGACGTTACGCAACGAACGCGTTCCTTTTTATCCAGGGTCGAAGGTAATCGATTTTTCTTTTTTTATTCATTCACTGCTTTTATCTCTTGACGTTGTTAAGCGCCCGTTATACACCTGTATAACGATCGGCTCTCTCTTTCTATTCCTGGACGACAAGTGTAAAATTTCTCGTACCTCGTATCTCAGGCATTTTTATTCTCATTACCGTACCGCGACTGCGTTCCATCCGAATCCTTTCCGCTTTCAACCGTTTTTAACGCGTGCTTTCTAGAAGTTAACTAATGGACTAGATCCCGGCAACAAATAATTTATTTATTCCTCTACATTTATTTAATAATTTTGATCTTCTTTATAATGTACGATGGACTCTTTGCTACTCTGTTAATAATTTGAATCGAGCCAGGATTTATTTACGCGAATCGGAATGGGTCTACCGACACGATCTCTTATTCCGAACACACAATAACTGTCCGATGCAATGTTCTCCCGATTAAAATTAAAGAGTTCTCCATGCGACGAACGAATATATATTCCCGGCGGCTGCGTGGCATTTACATGTGGGACGAAAGCGAGGCTGCAATGTCGGCTCGAACGTCTCTGGAATTCTTCGGACTCGACCTAATCTACATAGATTTGCAGGAATGCTAACCGCTACGAAATTACAATCTACGGCTTCTGCGTGGAAACTGGAAAATATCCAATAATAAAACCGGAATCCAAGGAAATTCTTAAGTCTATAATCTTCAATGTTGAACGATTTTTAATCTTATGACGCTCAATCAATTTTGTATCTATGACTCAATATCTCTTTACTGTTCAATAATTTCATGAATATTAAAAGACGTTTATTTAACGAAAGAAATATTTACAAGTTCTGTCATAGCTTTCTTTATATCAACAAATTAATTACGTATTGCAGATTAATTCCGAGAAGCGTAAACGGTGAAACGCTGTGTATCGGAAGGGAAAAAGAATAGTAGAAAAATGACTGCATTAAGCGTGAAAAATTGGTGCGTCCCGTCGACCGGTACGGTGGCGTCGGTGCATTCTTTCCGCGAAAGAGCCGAAAGAAGACGCTGGATTCCGCGTTAATTATACATAAACGCGTCGTCTACCTACATACTCACCGCGAGCGCGTAATGTAAAGCGTAAGCGTAAGCGTATAATCATTCATCGTTACGGGCCGATTAATTGAGGCGTCCGAATATCGTCGAACGACCTGGACCGGTCGTTAAAAGAAGTTACGCGTCTTCTTTCTACATGTTCCTCCCGAGGAACGATGCAATTTCGCGTGATACACCGTTACCCGTGACGCATAACGTTTTATAACTATGTTACCGGATACCGAGTGAAACGAATCGATTAATTCACGGTCATAGACGAGCGCGTTCATCCTGTAAAGATGATTTTAGTGTCATTACGTCGATCAGCAATTAACACTACGGATTATACGTGTACATTTAACCTGTACGCGTGTACGTGGAATCGGTAGCAGCTGTTCCCGTTCGGAGAGCAGGTGAACTCTGCTACCGTTCTCCACACTCAAGACACTCGGCGACGTTCAGCTAATCACCATCACGCCCCTAATGACGTCCAACCCCTTAGCCATGCGACGGTCTCCTCGAAATTCGCTTAATTGGCGGTGCGATGGTTATTTATCGCTGGCCACGTGCTACGTTCCCTCCTCATTCAAACCCGGTCTAAGGAATTTTAAGAGTATCGAGGACAGCAGAAGACACTTCGCCCCGTTTCAATACAGTATCTCGGTCTTCGATGCTGAAATCCTTATCAGTGTCTCTCGTTCGAGACGTTCGATCTACAACGAGTCCGGACTCCGTGTATTCAACCAACGGTTGGAAGCTACGCTCGCGATGTCGCGGGCAATTAAACGTTCCGCAGTTATGCGACCGATTAACGTTCTCGCGGTTTTCCGCGGTTGAGAAAGATCGCTGGCCAGATACGAGTGACGACGCTTATACAGATCGCGGTTGAGAGCGTGATAAATAGCAACGCGGCCGAAGAAAGTATAAATCCGCGCCGAGAGAATCTACGGAGTTCGGACGTGGCCGCGTTATATTTCATTGTCGGTCCCCGGGGTAGAGTCGAGGGAAGGCATATAGCGCCGGAGCCACAGAGACGAGGCTCGGAATCTCGTTATCAGCCGGTCGGCGATCGCGGGCGTGCGAGCGAGAGCCCACGGCTGATACGGGCTCCACCTTTTCTACTGGAAACGAAGATTCAGAGACGGGCGCGGGCGCCGCGACAGCGACGCGCGTAGACGGGAGTAGGGAGCACGCGGCGGCCTCGGAGTCGGTTTAAAAGGCAGATCAAAGGGCGCCGGCAATAATTATAGAAATATGCGCGTTGATGCGTGCCTCTTTGTCGGGTAATTCCCGAAAGAAGGGGGTTGCGATCCTACTTCTACGTAGTTCCCTCGCCGCCTGGGACGTTATCTGTCCACCGCGATCCTTGCTCTCCTCTCCGGTAATACAGTTATTTATTCGCCACCCGGTATCGCGGTCTAATCTATAAACACGCTGTTCCTCTTTCATTCGCCTGCTATCCGACTACCTTCGACTTGGACTGCCTTTTCTTTATTCCATCGTGCCTCCGTTTTTAGACGGAATAAACGCGCGAGGCTCGAATGGATTGCTGCGGATGCTCGCTCGGAAGCTATGTAATCGATATCTCGATGCGTTATTGGACGCGAGGGCTTTTTCTCGTATCGTTGAACGAGATTACTTGGCTCGCGATGCGCTTTAATTGGAGTCTACCTAGTGGATGCATCCTCGGACGCAATCAGATTAACTTATTATTACCATGATTTTATTGCAGTATAATAATATAATCGTCTTATTGTAATCGAGGTGCAGGATAGTAATGTAGGTAGAAGCATAAGCGTTGGATTAGCTCTATGATCTTTTCTCATCGTTCACGGTATTTTAAAAATTAAATGATTCCGCGAAACAGTTTT